CATACGAGAAAACGCAGCCTGCTACAGGCGTTACCAATAAACAATACATACGAGAAAACGCAGCCTGCTACAGGCGTTACCAATACGCATAACACATTCTCGAGAATGCTGCCTGCTACAGGCGTTACAAATGGAGGCCTAATACCCCTAATACACCCCAACATGTCAGAGATATAAAGGAGCATGGAGGGAGAGGAGGAGAGAGGTGTGGCGACAAGCTTAACAAAGTAGAGCGAAGGTTCCAGATCCCCAAAAGGAGCACTAGTTTCAGCAACCCCTTCTACCGCCTAGATCGTGGCACCCAAAGGCGTACGAGGTGAACCCCACATGTGCTGGCACTACTCGCAAGCACCTTGTGCGAGACGAGCGGAGACACTCCTCAACCCTGGCAGATATCCATCAAGCTTCCAGAGGGACGAGGCACCCTTAGGCGCGCCCAAAGCGCCACTACCCGCACTCACGCATTGCGAGACGAACGTAATGTCCCTCACGAGGAGCGGGCGGAGAAGCTCCTCGACCGTGTCAGATATCCGTCAAGCTGCGCAGAGCCGAGGTTCCCTTTGCCGCACGGGACTTAACCCACCTGTATTGCCACATCCTACACCCACGCATGGTGAGGTGCAGGCGGAGACACACCACGCCCCGGGCAAGTGTCCATGAGCCGCCAAGGTCAGCCCATCCCCAGGTGAACCCTTCAACAACGCCCGCATCTGCGCTACCCGTCAATCAAGCTACGGAGTAGTAGTAGTAGTAGTAGTAGTAGTAGTAGTAGTAGTAGTAGTAGTAGTAGTAGTAGTAGTAGTAGTAGTAGGAGGAGGAGGAGGAGAAAAGGATGGACACAGTACTCCAATACAGAATTACTCACTTAATAAATCCTGGGCGAGAACGTAGCAGCAACTGTAAAACAAGAAAAAAGGATGGCGTTAAATATTGGCATCCCTAGAGAGGATAATCAACCTACCCCATGAATACTGAAAATAATGAATGCAAAAGGAGAGACATCCTTCAAAACGAAAGCTGACAAGTAACAGAAATGGAAAGCCCTTTTCAAGGTTCAAAAGACAGCAATCAGTTTGTTTATTTGGGGGTAATATAGAAAACTATAAAAAGTAAATGAATACACACAAAAAACGACAATTTTTATTTATTTCATATTCGATATTACTAAATCAACACGAAGTATCAGTTTGATTATAGAACACTTGAATGATAAGATCCTTTAACTGAATTTGAACAATGTTGCCAATGTAACCTCAATCATTCGACCGGATTAAATCTTTTGAAATAACCGGGTTATATGGCGCCTTGCTTATCTTCCAGTAATTTATATAATATGCATACCGAAATCTGAACAATGTTCTGGTTCTGTAAGCAAATACACAGCTGCCTGCACTTCTCCCTAGTACACCCCATTTCCGGTGAAGAGTAATAATTTGCAATGTTTAAATAACGGTCCTAACCTACGGCTTGAATGGTCTGTAACAAACCTCAGAAACATTAGTTCAACGAATAGGGATTCCCCTTTTATTCATGAATGCTGTAACAATGTTTATGTCAAGAAATAACACTGAGCTACATAAGCAATAATCTAATAATGATCTAATGCTTTGGCGGGTTATACTTTATGGGCAGCTGGAGACTGTTCCTGAGGCTAACGGGATATGGCCGGTGAGGACTGGTGTTTGAAATTTCAGTAAACGTCATTATATACTTTGAAATGAGTTACGAAAAGGTTGGCGTATAACATTAAGAAAAATAAGCTGTTGCAAATCGTTTTACTTTAATAAGCTATATTCCTAAGTACCTACAGCTACTCACACACACAAGAATATTCAACTCGTGTCCCATGATTGTTGGTAAGGTACCCCCCCCCCTCAAATGGCAATGCATTACTGAATTGATGGTTTTCGAGGTGATTGTTGGAAGGCTGTACGATCAAGTGTATATATCACTTACGATAATTATGCTATATGAGCTTTTGAAGTGACATTTTTTTTTTTTACTCATGTATGTGGTTTCACTCCAATACATTAGAAATGGGGAAAATGCTGCTGGGAATACACGTGTAGTTTAACAACGATAGCTTGCTTTTTTTAACTATTACCAAAAAGGATTTATCATTTACACTCACGACATAACTTGGGAGGTAGAGAAATATATACATACATTTTCATGCCTGACACATTATAAGGGCCATCCTTTTCCATGCTTATTTCAGCCTTCTTAACTTTTCATTTTGTTCCGACTTTACTTTAACCTTCAATTTCTTCAAATACTAATATGTAATCAGTAAATGGGTATCTCGCATAATTCCGAAACATCGAGAAAAAAAAACTGCACGCTGAACGAACACGTGACTAAAGAGAGAATGAAAATCAAGCCTTTGAATTTAATCTTATACGCAACTTACTTTTACTTTAATAAATTGAAATACCTGGAAAAGAAGACTCAATAAAAAAATAAATAAATAAATGCGTCTACACAAGCAACGTGGGTACGTGATGTTAGCGACAGCTATCACGAAATGCTTAAGTTAGTAGATTGATTTTCATTTATGATTTTAATATTAGGTATAATAGGGATGTAACGTATATACTGCTCTTTTCCCATTTACTTTTTGATCTGAGTGTCTGTGTACGAGATATATATATATATATATATATATATATATATATATATATATATATATATATATATATATATATATATATATATATATATTTTTTTTTTTTTTTTTTTTTTTTTTTTTTTTTTTCCCAACAGCCATTCATTCCACTGCAGGACATAGGCCTTTCTCAATTCAGTATTGAGAGGTTATATGGCAGTGTCACCCTTGCCTGATTGAATGCCCTTCCTAATCAACCGCGGATCGGCGTGCTAACACTTGTGCCACGGCGGTGACTTCCCCTACGACACCTGCGTTTGACTTCTCAAGCCGATATGTCGTTTTCTCGGGCTTGAGCAAGTAGTCAGAGTGCAGGCCTTTCGTATATGTATGTGTGTGTGTGTGTGTGTGTGTGTG